ATATACAAATAGGATCTTACCATTACATGCCATTTGGGTTGCATGTCAAGACACCTATTTTTGACATTATTTGTGTAATGGTACAATAACTCATGTAGGAGAGTAATCATTAATGATCTTATAATATTTGAACAAGGCTGAAACACATTAGCTTAAGATTATCAAGAGATACTTTATTTCTAATTTGTCCGGATAGAAAAAAAAAACTGAAGGAAAATTATAAAAACAAATAATTAAAATTAAAAATTACTGATTCTGAAATAAAATGCTTTTTGTAAGTAAACTTCTCACTCTGGCTTTATTAACAGTTTTTAATTTATTAAATTCATGATGAAGTCGAATGTCTATATATTTATCTAAAATGAGCTTCGTGACAGTAATGCAATGGTCATTAAGTGGTTCAAAATCAAAAATATGGTTAGAAAAAACATCAAAAATATTTGAAGGCAAATATCGCATAGAACTATTTACTAATTTACATTTTATATTGGCAATGTTAATAATATTATTACTGTGTATGTTCATTGAAACTGTTTTTATACATTTTTCAGCTTCACTACAAACAGTAACTACAAATCTAGAAGCTTTTTGTAATTTTCTGTAAGTTTTTTTGATTTTGCAGTTTTGATAAACTGTAATCTCCTTCTAAAATCGCAAAACACTGTTTGCAGTGAATCTTGTTCTTGAAGGATTTTACTATAAAACCAGAAATGTAGGCAACTACATCCTGAATGTATTCGCTCAGAAAATATATAGATAGATATTCATGGTCACGAAGCTCATTTGTAAATTCCAAATTTTCTTCAGAAGTGTCTGATTTTAAATTTAACGCAATTTTGCTACAATCCAAGATGCTGGTGCCATCTAAAGCAATTGCATTGGCAGTTTTATTTGACTTCACTTCATTATGAATTAATAATTTTTTATAACAATTTTGAAACAATCTGCATGTGGGATTGTTATTGAAGCCACATCTGTTACGAACTGCACTAAGAAAAAGTTCCAAATGGTCCTGAGAAAGCTTGTAAGTAAGAATAAAATCTAAATTTTTATTCATTACTACTGTATAATTTTAGAGCTTACATATTATAAAAATACCCATAATAAATACTGTCTGTTGGAAAATAACTTAACATTATTCTCCGCCAGAATACATCAATTATTTTACTCCTCTTCCCCCTACGCCGCTAGACACCGAATTTAAATATATTTGTTCCTCTCGCCCCTTATTATATAATTAACTGCTAAACCGCATCTAACATTATGCAACCAACATCATTTATGTTTGATTGGTACTATTGGTAGTTCATGACGTAACTCCAACCAACCCTGGCAATTCCCTCTTATTTTTTACCTCCTCTCATAAACTTTGCAATCTCGGAGATTGTTTTTAAAGTTTAAAACAGAAGCAATCTTGACTCAAGACGAGAAGGATGTACTACTTGTGGTGTGTGAGTTTTCTCGCACTTTGTGGGCGTTAGCCGGCCGGCACTTATTTCTCGGAAAAAGTGAATTAAAACTTATTATCTCGGGGTGTTATTAAGTAAAACAGTCAGAAAAGCAAGTAGCCTCATACTAGACGTATTCTAGCATTGTTTGTGCCTGTGTTTCGTATCAACAACTTGTTCTTTTGTTGGATAACGAATAATATTGTAATAAACTCTATTAAAAGTGGTGTCGAAGTTTGAATACCCAAAACCAGTAAAATCTATTTATACAGTTCATTAAAAAACACACAAATTTAAGGAGAAATCAACAAAATTACCCCATATTTGCGCATTGTACTTACTTGATAGGTATGGCATTATATTTTAAGATGTGTCTACCACTTAAATTTTCATTAATGTCTGCCATGCAAAAATGGTCAGAACATATTAAGGCTTCTTTCATTTTCATAATGTCTTCCTCCACCAAGCATAGATTTTGCAGCCAAATTCTACGTTGAATAATTTCTCTAGGAAACCTGATCAGAAAATATAGAACATTATTATTTAAATAAACAATGCTAGTGCTAAATACTTTTACACTGTTAAATAAATTAAGCCTTATTCCCCGTATATGCCTACGTCTATGCTAACATAATCTTACTTATGAAATTATCGAATAACATTCTTATTCTGCGTATTTCCGCACGCTATACATTTCCTCCCCATCGTAAAAGTCCTTATTAAAAAGTTCAAGGTTTAAATTATTCTTGAAAACTACAAAAAAACACAAAAATCACAATAAAATTTGATCTGTCACTTTGATAACATCAGCAAAATGTCTTAGGTTGCCAAACTTAAAAGATATATACCAGAATGTTTAATATTCACATATGAAACACATGTAAAAATAGCTAAATAAAAGTCTTTAAGTGATTGCAATTAATAAAAACTCATATTGATGCTTTCAATTCTTTATTTTCTTTTTTTATTACATTGTATTAAAGGTAATAGTAATTTTTTTAATAAAAATTTAATTTTTGATATTTGATGAAAGAGATCTGACAACATAGGAAGAGCGTACTGTCAAAAAAAAGTTGCGGACAAGTGTAATGTATACAAGGCGTATCTATTTATCCGATATCTTTGGTCCTGCCATTGCATACACATTTATAACACCAATCCGCTACATCCCCTCGGCAATTCACCCAATAAAATATTGCTTGAATTCGTACTAGTGTCCTTTTAGTACTAAAATGTTCCTCCGAACGGCTGCTATAAAGCTCATCCAACACACTACTGACATGTGATGTCATCGTGATGTCATCGTGAAGATACATATAATCTCATTGAATCCAGTACCCTTTAATAGCTCCACTGAATTTGGCTTTCTTCGTCGCCCTCTGGCTTGACAGTGGTTGCCCGAAGAGTACTTTTATCAACCGGTTCCTCTCGTTCTCCGAGCCCTTTACTGTACCGGCGTTCTCGTTCTAAACAGGGTCGCCTGGAGAGAATGTCTGCAGACGGTCTCTACGATAGTCTACTTCCTGGTTATTGCTAGAAAGCCGGCTAGGTGCGGATAATCGGCTCCTCTAGGACGCATAACTGCTGTAAATATTTCTTGTTGGACTTCGTGGCGGTCTTCGGGAGATTGATCTGACTGTCTTTCTAGCCTCATTCCCTGATTCTTGATTTATAGAACGAGCCCTGCTTCTGTAGGTCCTTTGAAGGTGCCCGATTCTTCCACAATTAAAGCATCTTCTGCTTCCATTTTGGTTGTTTCGTTGCATATTTTGTAGAATATTTAAGAATTGTAAGAGGGTAGGTTGGGGAATAGTATTAGTATTAGCCTCATTACTTTCCTGGCATTTAATTTCTCTCATCCTTGCACGAGAAGATCTGGAAAAAAGCTTTACCGCTTTACATTCCTGGGCTACAATCAGTTTCTCCCTCAACGTCTTGTGATGTTGTAGACGAAGGGCTTGCTGCATTTCCACATCTTGCAGTCCATCAATAAATGTCTGCATTTCGATTTGTTCTTGGAAATATTTTGGTGCCTGTGGATAGGCCAGATGCACCAATCTTCTTATGTCGACATCGAATTCCTGTAGACTCTCATTATGTTTCTGACTATAAACCTTAAGCAGGCTTTGGAATACCCGTTTCAAATGCTGCTGGCCATATATTGTCTCCAACGCTTGGACGAGAGATAAATAACTGGGTTCTTCTTGGGGAAACTGTAAAACGATTGCTGCCTGTCCCCACAGCGACACTATCAATGAAGCTATTTTTTAGTCCAGCCATTGGCTCTAGCTGCAGTTTCAAATTAGAGTCGATACGTTTCCCATGTTGTATGACCGTTAAACGTGCGTGGTTTAATGGTCTTGCTAGTATACCTTTGTGAAACTGGGTTTTGGATATGGTTTGGTTCGGTTATAGATGAGGACGAGGTAGTAGTGTTTGCAGTTTCTCTGTTGCTTACCAAAGCTAGGCTATGAATTCCTCTTTCTAACTCAACTAGTTAGTTCAGTATAATTTGTCGTTCTAACTCTACTCTAGCCGTTTCTTGTTGTTTTAAATTAGTTATTAAATTCTCTTGCTATCTTGTTGTCTATTCGACTGTTCGGCTGACCTACCTCTTGTCTGAAGTTTTCTTGAATGTGTATTAAGCCATTCATAATCTCCACCTTCACTTTTTTGTGCTTCTCCTCCTCCTTCTCCTTCTCCTTCTCCTTCCCCTCCTCCTTCTCCTTTTCTCGCCTTTCCCTCTTCCGTTCTTCTTCCTTCCTACGCCTTTCCTTTCCTTCCTCTTCTTCCTTCCTACGCCTTTTCTTTCCCTCCCCTTCTTCCTTCTCAAGCCTCTCCTTTTTCACTTCTCGCCTTTCCTTTTTCTCCTTTTCTTCATTCCTATGCCTTTCTTTTTCCTCTTCCATCTTCAAAAACCATGCTGGTGGGCCTGAAATATCCATATTTGTTTCGTGCGTAGCGGAACTAATATTTGCCGTGAATAGAATGCTTGAGTAACTTTTATTTTATATCCCACCGCTGTCACCAATGCTACGCAGGTTTTTGGTCACTCAATTTATTTCAACTCAATTTTTACAATAACTATATAATTGATAACATTGATATATAACGTCTATCATAAAACTGACTAATTGACGTCAGGATCACAGACTTATATAGCTTGCTTTAACCTTCTCGAACCTTCTTGAACTGTCCGAGTTTTTCTTGACAATGAATGACATTTTGAGACATTTCTAGACTATTATATCTTCTTCTATTACTTGAACCTTTACTTATGACGACTGCAGCACTCTGCAGGGTGCTGCGTAACAATATTAATGTTAACAAAATATTTTCTAAACTGTCCCAATATATTAACACCTCGATTTCGCAATATTATCCTTTTTTAATATGTTTGACATATTTTACTAATAAAAAAGTGAACTTCTGGAGATTCGAGCTTTTAAAGCAATTAAGTAATTAACTCAATAACAAAACACACAACAAGCTTTTTCACTCATCCTACTCTAAATTTTAAAATCATAGTGTTACAAAATCATAATTTTCCAGGATGGAACATTTTCTTATGTCGATTTCTCGGAAGCCTTTCAAGAACTGGAAGTCCAGCGCGTCGTCCGAGCTTATGAAAACGGCATCACCATGGACATTCACTGTGCTCAGGAAGGCGATTGGATCCGTTTGCCTAAGGAACAGTTTGCCAAGGCGTGCAAGGTCAGGATCAATCCCACAGACGTCCTCACATCAGGTTCACCGGCTATAACTGGATTCGTTCAGTACTTGTCACCATTTTTAGTTCCCACTGCTTTGGATAATTTATTAGAAAGTTCTGATGTGGTGGGAAATATCAGATTTTCCAGACCGACGTTGTACGTGTTTCCTGGAGGTCAAGGTAAGAATGGATAAATTGATTTAGCCATAATTTTCTCTTATTTATTTTCTTGACATTTATCAGGTTTGTAATTACCAAAACAATGAAAATTAGTCTAATTGACAGAGCATCTTTAAATCTTTAAAAATGAAACATTAACTAAAATTGATTTAAACAATATCCTATTTTTCGATTACACTGTTACTGTGATTAGCATAATTCGAATAAATTCAGGTTATTTATTAATTTTTTTATTTATTTATAATTACATCACCAAACAGATAATGCCAATTACAGGGTGACAGGAAAATGTACAAAAAACAAAAATAAGTTAGAACATAAAGGTAAACATTAATACAAAAAAGCATCAAAATATGTTGTGCTTAAATTACAGACATATGCTTGAATAAAAAAATACGATATGTGAAAAAAAAGTGTATGTCTGTAAAAATGCTTTACAATTTTACAATTTAAAAATTAAAATAAGTAGGTTTTGACACATTGGACTAAAAGTTTTATAAAACAGTTATAAAAAAAGGAAAAATAAAATGTTAATTATTGTATGATACAAATTTTCATTAAGATTATGAATTGATTTTATTTTTTTTGGGCAGTACAATATAAATAATATACATAGGGTTCCAAACTACACTGGCATGTTCCAATCTAGATCTAACAAAACAAAGGTACAAAAGTTTTAAAGGTTCTAAGCTATTGAACTCTTTGCCATTTCCTTTATATAAGCCACCTAGCAAAAACGATTGCAACAATAATAGAACAAAAATATAATGTCCTTTCTTTATTGGTGAAAGAACGTTGTCCACAATTTCAAATATTACTTTTACTACAAATATATGGACAGAAACTATGAATACTAGGGGATTTTTAGGACTCACTTGCCACTTCGAAGAAAATAAAAACTGCATGGAGTAACTATTGGTGTGACTGAATTGGATCAAAATCATACTGCTAAATATTTGGAAGAATGTCTTAGAAATATTATGTCAGCCTGGAATGTTTTAGTTGAAAAAGTGACTGCTATTGTGACTGATAATGGCAGTAACATTGTTAAAACATCCAATGATATTTTTGGAAAAAATAGACATTTGCCATGTTTCGCACACACCTTAGAATTTAGTGGCTTCAAAAATAATAGAAGACATCAATGAAGTAAAACTAGTTGTTTTTGCAGTTGACTGCTATGTGTATGTACCCATGTGTATGTCCCATTAATGCGTAATTGTTCAATATTTTAATGTATATTAAAGACACGCAAACATGTTTCAAAGAAAAGTTATATGGATTTAAAAATACATATTTTAAAAATATTTTAGATATATACAGGGTGCTACATTTTTGCTTGGCATATTTTTAAAATAGAACATGTATTTTATTTCAATTGTAGAATGGTTTGGTAATACTGTATTCAACCCTAGAATAATTTTAAAAAAATATTACAGGTCTGCCAAGCAATTAAATTTTTATAAAATTAGAAAATGATGCAGACCCCAAATTAAATTATAATTTAGGTAGGATTACATTGATTTCAAAATTGTTTAATATACTGACTTATAGCACATTAAGATAACGAATAGTAGTGATAGTGCTGGATTCTTTTATATAGCGAGTGTTTTGAAACATGTCTTAAATATGGTTACTTTTAAGTCAAATTACTCAATTTTTTCAAAGGCAGCATTTGATATAATATTTTAGCATACAATTCCTTATAAATTTGCATATCCAACGATACCAACATGTTAGAGAATAACATATATACAGAGTGTCTCATCAGTGCGTAATTGATCGATAGCTGTTTTATTATTAGAAATAAGAAAAAAAATTACTTAATATAAAAGTTGTATGACCATATTTAAAAATTATTCCTATATATACAGGGTGGTCCATAAACGAGATGTTGACCAAACCTATACATTTTTAAATCAAAACACCCTGCAAGTAGTTATACATATTTGATTGTTTTCAGGTCGTCAAATAATTTTAATTGACTTCATTCATTTGCTATGTTATATATAGGATGTGTCAACACGCGAGGTTACGAATGTTTAAAATTTTTTCAATGGAATATTATATTTATTGGTGGCATAACATACAGGGTGTTCTATTTAGAAAATTGAGAAAATCGTAACCATTTTGACACACCCTATATACAACATAGCAAATGAATGAAATTGAAATTATTGTTCGACGATGTGAAAACAGTCAAATATGTATAACTAACTACAGGGTGTTTTGCTTTAAAAATGTATAGGTTTGGTCAGACAATCGTTTATGTATTACCCTATATATTTTTAAATAATTGTTAAATATGGTCATACAACTTTTATATTAATTTTTTTCGTATTTTCTATTAATAAAACTACTATCGATCAATTACGCACTCATATGTGTTATTGACTAACATATTGGTATCGTTGGATATGTTAATTTATAAGGAATTGTATGCTTAAATAATATACAGGCTGTGGCTTTTGAAACAAATTAAATAAATTTAACTTGGAATTAGCCATATTTAAGACTTGTTTTTTAAAACACACTGTATAAAATAATCCAGTTCTATTACCACTATTCGTTAGCTTAGTATCTTATTACCTACTACATTTTAAAAAAAATTTGAAATTATTTTAAACCTAGCTAAATAATGATAATTTAATTTGGGGTCTGAACCATTCTCTAATTTCATAAAAAAATTAATTTATTGGTATCCCTGCAATATTTGTTAATAAAATTCTCGGGTTAAATACAGTATTACTAAAGCATTCTAAAACTGAAGTAAAATACAGGGTTTTCTACTTAAAAAATATACCGTTTTATTTGTCAGACAAAAACGCAAAACCCTGTATATCTAAAAATATCTTTAAAATACCCATTTTTGAAATTCATATAACTTTTATTTCGAAATTGTTTACGTGTCTACAACACAAATTGAAATATTGAACAATTACGCACTAATGAGACAACCTGAATATATTATTCACAATATATGCACGCGACATATGTTTGTAATAATTTAATCCCGCGCCGCGTTTATATATTTATTTACGCTTCTATTAGATATTGTAGTTTGCCTAAGTATTTACTTAAACTACTTTGCTCTTAAAACGTAAAAACAGACTTAAATTTTTAGAAAAACTACTTCGGCTCGGCAGACCCGATCACAACATTTGCTTCGGCAGTCAACGTGTTTTAAATGCTTTGTTATTCATTTGTTGTTTAATTTGTATTTAGGTATTACTATTTCAAAAATGCTTATTTTTCTAATTGATTAATCTAAAATACACACGTAATTTTTATTAATAATTGAAAATAGTACTGTAGTTCTAAATTGATAAAAAAAAGTAGGAATATGAAAACATAAATTACGACTCTACAAATGAAGTAAAATTTTATGATTAATTTTTTTTTTCTACAAAAACATTAGCTCAGCAATATGTTATAAGTTGCATACATACAGTATGTCTATGTAAGTTGATAGCAAATAGAAAACTTTTTTATTATTTATTTTACGAAAAAAAGTTATTCTTCATAAAAATTTATGCATGGTCTAACAGAAAATGCAACCACTTGATATCAAATTTTATCAGTCGGTTTTACAAGGTTTGTCAAAAAATATAATTTTGCTCAAGATAAAATACCTTTATTTTCGACCAACACTGTATATGACTGATAAAATTCAGATGATTGAATTTTAGGTTTTAGACCATGCATAACTTTTTATGTAAAGTAACTTTTTTTCTAAAATTAATAGACCATGCAATTGTTTATGAAAAATAAGTTTTTTTCTTAAAATTCTTAAAAAAGTTTTCCGTATGCCGATACCGCCAACTTACATATAAATGAGATTAAATGTTTTGAAAATAATTTTTACTGATGCAGATCTAAATAAATTATTGTAGGTATACGAGTATAAGGTAATAAAAACACTTTTTTATTAAATTTTTCTTTTTTTTATTTGGTTCTTTGGCTGTAAGACCTTCCGGTATATACAGGGTATTCCAATAAGAATGGGAACAACTGAAGATTAACTAATTAGAAATAAGCCGAATAAACGAAATGTCCGTAGGTAAAACATTACTCGTTTCCGAAAAACAGGGTTTTGTTGAAAATCAAAAATTATGATTAGCTACAATTTTTTTATTACTCAGTTTAATTTTACTAAATTCGGCAAACGTTATTGGTGTAATAAAATACATCTATCAGCAAAAAAATAAGTTAAATAAGCTTTGCCAGTGGCGTACGTCATGGGCAAGTAACATCTTTTTTTGTTCTAAATTTTAGTCCACTGTCCACTTTTGATGTTTTTTAAATAAAGTTTAGTTAGTTTTTGAGATATTCGCACATATTTGAAAATTCAGAAGTTTTTAAATTTCAATTTTTTTTTGTTAATAAATTTCTAAGAAAAGTACATTATTTATTTCAAAAACATCAAAAAATTTAAAATTTTATGTCAAAATAACATTTTGGATAGTGACGTAAAATTTAGAAGGGATGCGGTATTACGTACCAATGCTGTACGCCACTGGAAAAGTTAATTAAGGTAACTAATTTTTTTGCTGATAGGTGGATACCTAATTTGACACCAAAAGCGTTTGCCAAATTTAGTAAAAATTTTTTTGAGTAATAAAAAAAATATAGCAATAAATATTTTTTGGATTTTAACACCGTAATTAGGTACCGAGAAACATTTTATCTAAGCATGATTTGTTTAGTTGTCTTATTTTTAATCAGAGAATTGTCAGTTGTTCTATGTCCCATTCTTAACGAAACACCATGTATACAAGAATGAACTACTAAGTAAATATACCGATGTGTCGAATTTAATCCAAAACTTTTATTTTTATACCTGCTACATCGAAAATATTTGTCAAGGTCAAGAACTCATTTACTTATTATCACGTAGTAGCTAGGGGTGATGAATTTTTTATTTTATAACAGTTACCGTTTAGAATTAATAAAATTATTACGCCATCTGTTGAACAAAAGAACTATTAAATATGGAATGT